TAATTGCATATGGTTTCATTTGTTTTAGTTTTTTAAGTTTTATTTTATGATTTACATACCTTAAAATAATTGAAGTGAATAAGAAACAAGGGAAAGACAAAACCATGAAGGCATAAAGGATGATGTAGTGTGGGAATGGAAACTAGAGAATGCTAGGAAACCCCAAGTAAGGGCAGATTTCTGAATTCAAGTGCAGGTGGTAATCCTAAAATCCTTGAAGCAAAGAAAAAAAACAAAAAAAAAACAACAAAAAAAAACAACAACAACAGAAAAAGAGAACTCCATGGGATTCCTTGACTCTTTTGATCACAGGGATGAACTTGTTTGCTATAGTGAATCTTTCTGGAACATGAGGTTATAGAAGACCATATTTTCAAAAGAGATCAATATTCTTTTGTGTTCTAGAAGGAATTCTCATTAAAGCATTTATACTAAGTACACTTAGAAGGACATAATGGACAGCGGATTTTGCCAAATGTTTTAGTAGAAATGTAAAGACACTTCTTGTAACAATCCTTAATAGAAACTGGATAGTCTTTTTTAAAAAAAACAATAATGGATAAATAGTACTTAAGTGTGTTAAGAAGTCAATATCCAGTTGTGTTGTCCTAAATGAAAGGGTGAAACATATTTAATGGAAGAGGTTTTAAAGAAGTGAATGTGATTTTTCCCTGCCCCCAGGAAGAAAGCAGATGTCAGTGAAGGTCTTCCCAGTCATTTGTATTGAAAGAGGAAGGAAATTTACACGAATGAGTCTTTCTGCCAGGCCATCCCAAACTTAAAAGCTATAGAAATGACTTATCACAGACCAAAAACTCCAAAAGCACGAGCCAAAAGAAACCCAAGTTGGTTATCTCAGACACAGTAACAGGAAGCGGGTGTACCTTCAGTGTTTCACTAAGAGATCCCCCAGTGCAGGTGTTTTGTTCCAACAGCTCAAGAAATCTGTGCCCTTCAACACAGTGGAGATATAAGCTGCCCACCTTAATGAATGTTTTTTCACACCCTTAAAAACATGGCTTGGATTTGCTCAAGAGCCTAGAGGCATAATCAGTTGAGAATTTAAAGACTTGTATCATCATAAAACAGGAATAAAAAGTGTTTTGTTTTGTTTTGTTTTGTTTTGTTTTTCCCAGTACAGGGAATTGAACTCACGATCTCCCGCTTGCTGGGCAGGCGCTGTGCCACTGAGCTAAATCCCCAGCCCAGGAATAAAAACTGTTGAGTGGCAAGGGGTGTAGCTGAGTGGCACAGCACCTTCCTGGCAAGCATGAGGTCATGAATTCGATTCCCAGCACCAAAAAAAAAAAAAAAAGCAAAAACCTGAAAAATAAAAGAACAGAAAACTGCTGAGCTGGAGAGAAACTTGCTCTGAGTCAGACTGTACAAGCACAGAACTGGAAGGGGAGGCAAAGCTAGTGGAGGACTCACAGCAACGGGAGAAGCATTTACTCATTTATTCAGTTGCTGAAGTATTCACCCCATACACCATTCAATCAGGATTCATTCAAGACTTGCTTACTCATTCGTCATATCCACCTATGATTCTTCAAAACACTGGGCTTTCAGATCAGATCTGAACTACTCCAGGTGCTCAGAGTAGTATGAGAAAATATGTGAAGTTAAGATCTGAGTCAAACAGAAAAGGGAATGAAACAGCTTGGGTAGAAATTATGGAGAAGTCTGAAGGCTAGACTTGAATGCAGGAGCTTAGCTTTAATCTGTAGGTAAAGAAGGGAGAGAGACAGCCAAATTTTGAAGAAGAGCGTGGCCTAGGTGGAGTTGTGCAAAGATTCAGGGGAAGAGAACAATGCTGTGGAGCTGATTTCTGGGGAACGAAGGCGATTGCAGTTGTTTAAGTAGATGGTATTCAGAGGGGGAAATAGAAATAAGGATGGAATTGCTAAAGGAGAGGAGGCAGGATGTGTAGAGGTGAGGCCCTTGGGAAGCTCTAGTGTTTGAGTCTAGAGGAGATAAGGCCGATGAGTACTTGGGGAAGGACCAGGGATGGAAGCCAACAAAACAGGAAGTTTCCAGAATGTGGAAGCTGGTTAGTTAATAGTGCTTCTGTGTAAACAAGAAAGTACCATTTCTTATATTTGCCATAAAAAATGGCTATTTGCCCTAAGTTAGATGCATGGGGATATTTCATGGCCACCAAGAGAGCAGATAGACAAGGGGGCAAATGGAGAATAAGAATTAGAAACAGTATATATATTCTATTCTTCCAAGAATTACACCATAAAATGAAGGAGAGTAGTCTGAGAAAACATCAAATAGACTCATTAGAATTTTGTTTTTGAGACAAGGTCTTGCTATGTGGTTCAGGCTGGCCTTGAACTCACAATATAGCTGACGCTGGCCTCAAACTCTTGGTGATCTTCCTGCCTCCTGAGCCTCCTGGGATTATACCTGCTGGGATTATAGATCTGCACCACCATACCTGGCTTTCTTTAGAAATTTTTTGGCTGAAAGTGAGAAAAAAAAAAAAATCCCAAAATTTATATAGCTGAGGAAGCCATGGGGATAGTTAAGCTTCAGAGATGGATAAATCCAGGACTCAGTTGATGACATTAGTACCTCTTAGCTGACTGTGTCCATTTTTTTTTTTTTTTTTTGGTTTTTCTCCGGTACCGGGAACCGAACTCACGACCTTGCGCTTGCCAGGCAGGCGCTTTTGCCGCTGAGCTAAATCCCCAGCCCCGACTGTGTCCATTTTTATGGTGGCTTCATTTCTAGGTTTCTATATGGTGACAAGCTGGTTGTAGTAGCTTCAGGGCTACATCTTCCCCAGTTTAAACCTAGTGATATCAAAAGAGAAGATTTACCCTTGGTGTCTTAGCAAAGCCTGGAGTTCGTTCTAGTTTGGCTTGGATTGGCTTGACTAGAGTAAAGGTCCATTCCTACAGGGGATGGAGCTCACTGACAGGTCTAAACCTAGAGATAGAGCCCGTAAACTAAGATGGGAAGGGGCATGGCTCCTAGGTGGAAGATTAGAGTATTGTCAATAGATATGAAGAATGGAATCTGGGGAAAACTCCAAGTCTGAAAGATGGCAACTGATGGATAGAGGCCTGGAGAAGAAGGGGAGGAATGCGATCAAGATCCATGGATGGAATAAAATCTGAAGGAAGAAAGCGTCCTCATTTCTGAGATGGAAGAAAACAACAAAAGATGATACATACTGCCATGCAAGGCAATTTGACATGTAAGAGGGGCATATGCTAAATAGCTTTACTTTTCAAGTAAAAATTAGGGGGGAGGGTATATGTAGTTTAATGTGTTACATTAAGTTAAATCTGTTATACAAAATGTGTTATAGCAAATACATGGAAACTAATAGAAGCTATAAAGCTATAGCTAGCATACCAAATGCCTTCATTCTTCACACTGTGGGTACAATCTTTACAAAGCTTACTGTGAATTTGTAAACTTTATATATAGTCTTCATAAGATTTTTTTAATTGTACACTCTTTCATACAGTATATGTATCGTAATTCCCTTAGTAATTCCACTAGAACAGACATTAGGATTGCTTTCATTTTTAAAATTAGAAATTATGCTACAATTATTAAAGACTTAGCTGTGCATTTTTCCTTGAGCTATTTCTTTAGCATAAATTCCCAGGAATGAGGCAATTCCTGGGAATGGACATTTTTGTGCCTGCTAAGCTTGTTACAAGGTGATGTCTCATGAGGTAAGCACAATTGTTAAGGTCCCATGAAATTGTCAGTCTCATCATGTGTCAGACATTTTACACATTTTATTCCATTAAGATCAAGACAACAGCTAACACAACAAGCTGAGCACTCATCTCCAGGATAAGCCTATCAATTTAGTTACGTTAATGTGTTTAATGTTTCAACAACCCTGAACAGGAAATGTATTATTCTTAATTTTACGGATAGAGAAACCAAGATATGAAGAGATTAGGTACATTGTGCAAGGTCCCACTGCTTGAAAGTGATAGAACTGGTATTTGAACCATGGTGATCTGAATGCAGAACCTGGGTAATCATTAGTCTATCAACTCTGATAAAAACATACAGTGAATATTTAGATTTTTAGAAATTAATTACAGTAAAACGTGAACTGCCATTAATACCCTCACAATACTGCCTCTTGCTTTGAATTCATCCCATCATTCTCGCCACTTTCCAAAGCAGTTCTAGAAGTGTTCTTTTGTAAGTGTCTTTATGAGGGGTGATAAAAAATTTGGGGCATGCTGCTTCCAAGTGCCATCCAATGGAAAGGCTTGCTAGGAAAAATATTACTGTGTGTCTTCAACCACCTTATCCACCAGACCTGGCAGAGTGAGACTTCTAAGTCTTCTCCAAAGTCAACATGACCATGACAGCTAAATGTTCTGGATCAATTCAGAACACTGAGAAAGCCAGGATAGTGAAAATAAAGACACTCATGAAAAAAGGCTTCCAGAACTGGTTTAGAAAGTAACAGGAATGATGGGATAAGTGTGTTCAATCCAGGGGGAATATTTTGAGGGGGTTTCATGGCCATGTGTCTTTTACTGTAATAAATTATTTAAAAGTTTAAACATTCACCATATTTTTTCAGTCACACTGTGAATATTATCCTGTGATAGTTTTGTTTTTGCTGTGAGTTTTGACTGAAATTTCCCTAGGTGTTATTAATGATTTATGTACATTAATGTGAGAATTTCATCATATCCTTTTGGGAAGTTTTTTTTTTTTTATGGCTCTGCCACAGGTTAGGGATAATAGTGGGATAATTTTTATGCATTTGAATGGTTCAGATGGCCTAAATGGGGAGATTTATTTGTTTATTATTAATCATGCATTTTAACCTCTCACAAGTACGCAGAGTTTAAAAACTAAGAATTACATTGCTAAGGATTAAAAATAAAATGTCATAGTTCCATGCACCCAGAATACCCCTAGCATTTGTTCTGTTTGTTTTTGTTTTAGCTCTGGTGGTTTTATAATTTAATTCAGCCCTGCTTATTTTCATGGACACATACCTTCTGGGTTTGCTTGAACATCTGAAATGTGGGTATTGCTTGGATGTTACAAGATTCAGCCAGCTCCTGGGAAAGAAAGAAATGGCACGAAGTCACAATTGTGCTGTGCTTTCTTTGTACCAAGTACGCTGCCTGGTGATTTCTCAGATGTGTCTTAAAACTCAGGAACACCTGACACTTTAGAGACTGTCCTGCCAGAGAGCATGTAATCATACTGGTAGACTCTCAGAGCCTCCAGGAATGTGACAGTGAACAATGACCATCTCAGCAATGCTTGGTGTTTACATCCCAGAGGCTAGGAGAGGGGTGAGAAATAGAGACCAACAGCATGGACCCTCAGGGGCTAAATGGGCTCTATTTAGAGACCTTGTGAAAGATGCCAAGGAGCCTCAAGGAGAATCCAATATTCTGCAAAATAGGAAAGAGTAAAGATATCCTTTTAAATCACATTAAGACATGAGATAATATGAAATGTGAAGAAAACTACAGGGAAGGTTTAAATTTAAAAATTACTGTAGTAGTGCTGGGGATATAGCTCAGCGGCACAAGTGTCTGCCTGGCAAGCACAAGGTCCTGAGTTTGATTCCCGCTACCAAAAAAAAAAAAAAAAAAAAAGACATAAAGGTTATTGTAGTAAAAATCAGATTGCCATTAATCTCCCTAAAAATGCTCCCCTTCACTTTGGACACATTTATCCCATCGTTCTTGTGCCTTCCTGTAGCAGTTCTGGAAGTGTTTTACATGAGTGTCTTTAGTTGTACAGTTGTGGCTACCTCAATGCCCTGCATCTATTCAAAATGTTTACCTTTCATTGTAACTTTGACTTTGGGGAGGAGCCAGAGTTGCACGGTGCCAGATCCTGTGAATAGGGTGGATGAGAACACACCATAATGCTTTTATAAGCCTGTTTCTCTGTTGGGTGACACTTGGCAGTAGCATTCACACTGTTTTTGATCATACCTCATAAAGACATGCATGAAAGAGGATTTCCAGAACTGCTCCTGAAAGTGGCAAGAATGATAGGATATGTGTCCAAAGGGAGGGGGAGCATTTTGAAGGGGATTAATTACATTTTTAAAAATGTAACATTCACTGTATATTTTGGTCTCCCATTTTAAGAAATGCTAACATAATTCTTTCTTTTAAGCCCTGTAGTCACTCCACTGCTCATCTATGTTTGTGAAAAATTTGGAATCTAAAGACACAAAAATAGGCCAGAATCCCCAAAAGATTAATTCATTCCAAACTGCTTCCAAATGGCAGTTTTTGTTTATCTTGTTCAGAAGTCAGAAAGAAAATTAGCCACATACAGGATGAAGGGAAATGGACATCTTTTTTCAATATAAACATTTTTTTATTGGCATTGAATCTGTTCCCTTCCCTACAACAAACAGTATACACATGCATAAGCACTAAATTATCATTTACACGATCAAGGTAATGACAAAAATGGATAAATATGTTAATAATAGAAAAATGTGCTTTTTACTTCATCTTAAAAATAAAAGAACTATAATTTAAAAAGGAAGATAATAACATGTGTGGGGAAATGTGAGCTCTCCTACTGTGATAGTGAGAATGTAAAATGGTACAACTGCTTTGGGAAACTGTTTGTCAGTTTCTCAATAAGTTAAATGTTGAGTTAAGATGTAACTCCACAATTCCATTTCTGGATATATTCCCCAGAGAAATGAAAGCTCATGTACACACAGAGGCTTATGGAGTCATGTTTATATTCACAAGTAGCCAAAAGGTACAAACAATCTGGATGTTCATCAATAGATGAATGGGTAAATACCAGGTGGTATTGGTACAATGGCATATTATTCAGCAATAAAATGGATGAAATACTGATATAGTCTATAACATAGATGAACCTTGAAAGCATGCTACAATAAATGAGCCACTCATTAAAGACCATGTAGTCCATGATTCTATTCACAAGAACTGTTCAGAATAAGCAGACATATATATATAGAAAGAATGTAGGTTTGTGGCTACTGAGGGCTGGGGGGTGGGTGGAGGGAACTGGTGTGACTGAAAAAGAGTATTTCTTTTCAGAATAATGAAACTCTTCTAAAGTAAATTATAGTGATGGTTATGCAACTGTGAATATGGAAAGACAAAGAAATGATCCCAGCTGTGTGTTCTGAATTCACAGTATATCATTCAGCCTAAAGAACAATTAAACAATGTCACACTTTAATGAATTTTTAAGAACATGGAGAGATGGAACTTCTGTTATACTGTGGGTACTGTGGCTTCTATCTCATGTATTTTATCTTCTAATTACTCCTGTTTTAAAGATGAAGAAATGGAGGTTTATAGAGATTAAGTAATAGTAAGTCACAAAACCATTACAGGGCTAAGAGTAAATAATGAATTATTTTCATTCTAAAGCTCAAACAGCCTAATGTATGTATAGCCACTTATTACTATTAATACCATAATTTGAATAATGACAGGCCCCCAAGACCCAAGTGTTAAAACTTGGTCCCAAGTGTGGCACTGAATCTTTAAGGGATAGTAGAACCTTTAAGAAGTGGGACCTAGTTTGAGGTCTATAGGTCATTGGGGTCATGTCCTTAAGGAGATTATGGAATTTTTGGCTCCTTTCTTTCTCTCATTTGCTTCCTGTCATAAAGAGAGTGGCTTTGCTCTGCTATACACTCCCTCCATCACATGTTGCATTGTCATAGGTCCAATGGAACCAATGGACTGAACCTTCAAAATCGTGAGCCAAAATAAACCTTTTCTCTTTGTAAGTTGATTGTCTCAGGTATTTTGTTACAATGAACGAAAATGGGTGAACATGGTTACTTTTCCTCATTAAAAGTTAGCAAAAGTTAAGAAGCATAATATGTAGAGGTGTTGTGTACCTTAATAAAATGTATTTGGATTGAGAGTATAAAGCTGATTATTTGAGGGTTAAGATGGGGAAGGATGACTCTCAGGACAGGAGGGAAAGATTTTCTAGATTTTTTTTCTGATATTTTGGGAAAGCCACAGAAAAGCATAACATACAGCAAAAAGAAAGCAAGCTGTATTAAAATGTCTGTAATGCACTGCATCTGGTTTCAGAAACTGATTATCTACCATAGGTGAGAATCACTGTTAACATCAGCTCAACTCGGATAGATTGGTAATGTCTGTCGATAGTAACCTGCTGAGGATTCTAAGATACAGTGTAGAGTACTCTGTAGTGAAGAATGTTAGGACTGGTTAGTGGGAACAGAGAGGACAGCAGGAGAGGCAGGTGTTTGCTAACTTTTGAAAAGGTACAGAAAACATACAAGAGCATTATGTTGGAGTTTAGTAACTTTATTAGAAAACATAGGAACTTCTAATTGATTTTACTTTGATTATATAACCACAGAGACAGTGCTACACATCTGTTGGATTTGGGTTTTGAAAATCCACATGCAGAATTTAAGATTCTTACCTCTGATTCATCCACATCCACGATAGCAAACATTACATTTTTGTATTTCAGAGACATTGCCTTCAAAATAAAAAAAAATTCTCTATTAGCTTACTGTTAATATCAAAATACATAGTTGAATCCCTGCAAAATAAGAAATGGGCAAAAAGTCTATTAAAGACATCTAAGCATCATTCCAGCATGTCACTACTTACCACAGAACCCAAAGCACCAAGTCAAATACCACTTGATGCCAAGGTCAAGCGAGAATCAATGGCAGAGCCAGAGTCAAGAGAATCAACTGAAGATTAGTGCTTTAAAGTTAGAGAAGACACAAAGCAAAGAAATAATGAAATGTGTGTGGTGGGTCCAGACTTACTCTGTGAGGTATAGAGAAGGATAGTGGCCTTTTCCTGGGAAAGGGCTCAAAGGAGTCATTTTCAGTGATGTTGATGACGCAGTTCTCAAGTGTGTGTCCGTGGGGGGTCGTGGCTCAGTGGTAGAATGCCTTCTTGGTGTGTGTAAGGCCCTAGCTTTGCTCCTTATCTTTGCCTTTTCCTCCTGTCAGAGTTTTTGGAAGGTGGTGATACTGATGGTGGTGGTAGAAGGCTCTTCTGGTTGAGGTGATTATCAAAATTTTCATGCTGAGTATCACACCAGTGGCTCTCCACCTCATTGCTATCTTTCCATGCTCTATTATACATTGAGATTAGATTGCCCATACTCCTTTGCAACTGAGTTATAGTTAGTTTCTGTCAATTAATCTATTTCTGCAGACAAATGGATGCTCCCCAGTGGGAATCATGGAGAGTGATTTGGCCTACTAGACATCTAATTGCCAGGATTAGCACTTATGGGAAATGGACAATGGAAGGAAAAAGGCACTGTCTTCTGCTTTTGTTTTGTTCTAGGAACATCTTCAGCAGCAGAAGTGATGAAGGTATTGATAATAGGTCTGGGGAGCAGGTAGATAATATAGAACCTGTAAATGTCAGCATGGGCTTCTTTTCAGATGTCTGTCCATACCTTGAGGACACTAGATAGTCCTTTGATTTGTTTTTGTTTTTTTTTTGTTTTGTTTTGTTTCCTGTACCGGGAATTGAACTCATGACCTTGTGCTTGCTAGGCAGGCGCTGTGCCGCTGAGCTAAATCCCCAGTCCCTACCTTGATTTGTTTGCTTCAGAATTGTATCTCAAGCACTTCTAGTGACTTTTGTCAAATGGGAGAGTTCCTCATGGTGACACAAGGTGTCCAGAACTTAGCCAAGTGGAAACAATAGTAGATAGAGCAGCCACTACAGTTCTTTCCGCTCTGTTCTTCCGCATGTGCAATCTGTCATTCTTTGTGGACCTCTTTTGTCCATTTTACCTAAAATGTCCCTGTATTTGATCTTTCCTTTTTCTCCAGGTGCTACTGCCCTAGTTTTGGTAAACCTTCCAATTGAGACTGTTTCCATTGGGTTACCTGCCTTGGGTCTTTCCAACCCTGCTGTTGTACAAGTGAGAAAATATTTTCTGGGGCTAGGGATGAAGTTCAGTGATAGACTGCTCACCCAGCATGCACAAGGCTCTGGACTTGATCCACAGCCCTGCTCTTCTAATTTTTCCCTCTGAAAACTCACATTTGATCATGACAAAAATCCTTGTTAAAGTTTTCCTATTTTGATTCTCTATGGCAACTCATTAAGTTTCTACACAAAATCCTTAATCTGGCCTTCGCTTCCCTTTGGAGGCTTATTTTTTGTCACTTCTATTGTATTCATTATGGCTTAGTCTCATATACTACTTGGTCTCCCGTAGTCACATTATCCAATTTCTCAACAAATTTACCACCTATCCTTTTCCAGAAATGCTCTATTCAGGGTTCTAGCCTATGCTTGGTGATCCTGTCAGTCCTGGGTTACAAACTATGCCCTGTGGGCTAAAACCAGCTCTTCATTCTTGTCAATAAAATTTTATTTGAACAGTTTGCTCCTTCATTTTTATACTAACAACAGAAAAATTGAATGGTTGGCACAGAGACTATAGGGCCTGCAAAGGTGAAAAATGCTTACTGATATTTTCCTTTACACCAGGTAGACTGGTGCTTACTCTGAGTCATCAGGCCTAAATCAAATGAGACCTTGAGGTGTCTTATGACTTAAAGCTTTAGAGCACTTCTTAAAACCCACATTTTCTTGTGATTCACTTATTTTTTCTTGTTGTATTACATCCTTTAGCAATTTCTTTTTTTTTTTTTAATTTAAGTGGGTTTATTGTCATTGGGATCAGTTTTATTTTTTTTTATTCCTGCATTTTTTCTATGTTTAAAATTATTACAAAATATAATGTTCAAAAATATTTTACTTAAGTATAAAGCATTTCATATAAACCAAAAAAGGTGCAGAAAGTTATTTCACAGTTTTTTGTTTTGTTTGTTTGTTTGTTTTTCTGGTACCAGGAATCAAACTCACGACCTTGTGCTTGCCAGGCAGGTGCTGTGCCACTGAGCTAAATCCCCAGCCCCCTTTAACAATTTCTTCAGAGAGTCTCTGTAGGTAACAAACTCTTTTTTTGTCTTTTTGAGACAGGGTCTCGCTATGTAGTTCAGGCTGGTCTTGAGCTCACTTTGTAGCCCTGGCTGGCCTTGAACTCGCAACGATCCTCCCACCTCAGCCTCCCAAGTGCTGGGATTGCAGGTGTGCACCACCATGCCCAGCAGTTGATACTTTTTATTTTGTGTGTCTCACATGTCTTGTATCCTTTCCTTCCCATTCCTCCTCTTGCGTAATGGTTTAGCTAGCTAATCACCTCTCCTACAAAGCTTAGAAAGGAAAAGAAAGTAAAGATTCGTCCGACTCCCTTGCAGCTAGGCTGGATGCACACTTGGTTTTATCCATGAAGTGCAAGCAGGTAAGACAGAGCTGCTTCTTGTTTCCTTACATGCCCCCACTGGACACTGTGCTGAGGTACTAAGAGGTGTCATGCCGCAGTCAGCAGCAGCCAGACTCAGAGTTCCAGTGTCCAAACTTCACCTTTCTGGACCTCCAGAAGTGGTTGTGGCAATAGCAGCTGCGGTAACCCCCTGATCCTAGTTCCAACTCCCTGTCATTGCTCCGTTGCTGTTTTTTCCCTGCCAGGGGTGACCTCCCATTTCCTCTCCCTTCTGATTGTGACAAATTCAGGAGCCCTACTGCTTAATGCTATTTAGTTATACTACTAGTTTCTCTTAGTTCATTGAAAAGAAAGGTTTCACTAATATCATTTGGAAAATTTTTTATGCCCATAACTTATACTCTGAGTAAGTACTTTAAAGATGACAATACTCAATGTATTAACTATTGTCATTCTATTATTTTGCTATGAAATTTTGTTTTACTTTTTGTCCATAAAAAATAAAAGTGCATATTAAAGTATCTACAAATAGAAAAAAAGAATGCATGAAGAGTTTGTGTGTTCTGGGTCTATGGCTGTTCATAGAGTTTCAATGCAGAGCCCATTTATCCAGTCTTCCAATGATTTACAACCATTACAGTATTTAATTCCTCATATTAAAACTCTTTTCTGTCTAATTCAGTCTTTGTTTTCTGATTTGATCTGACTGATATAGTGAATTGTAGCAAGTGGAGCCCTTTCTATAACCCACTCATGGACTATTAGTTAAAACAAATTATGCACAAATATGTTCTTTTGCAAAGGGCTAGGTATTATAAGAAAAGTAAAGTGACACATCAAGTTCTCCCATTCACAGAAAAAAACTTATTTGTTATTCATTCAGCTCTCCTTTGTCTCCACATATAATACATGCATATTATGTAAGTGCTTATACAAATACATAATGTCTATTTTATATATATATATATATATATATGGGATCATAGTATATAAATTTCTCATACTGCATTCTTTCTACTTTATATGTTGTCCTAGAGAGAACTCATCACTGTAAATGACTCTACTTAATTGTTTATAACAAATGCATTTCAAAGTGTGGATACACTGAAGTTTATTTAAAAACTATATTTGCCTTAGTCTAGATTTCAACAGAAAGAAGCACCATCAAATAACAAAAAATTCAAGATATCAATATGTAATACAACAAGCATTGTTAATTTCCTACCACTTTGTTTTTAACTCTGTATTGTCTGTACTGTTCTTTTGCTATTTTGTAAAAGGTTGTCTGTCTGTTAATGTTTTCCTCCTATTTTTAAAATAAAAAAAAAATTACAAAAAATTCAAGGAGATTAATACGTATAAGGACTAAGTTTAACTACTGATATAGACAAGGAGAAGTTTTGGAGGAACTGTAGATTCTGGTCAGTCTCCACCCAGAGGGAGAAGTTACCAAGATGTACATATCATTTTACCCTCTGAAAATGTGTGTCACTGGCTGTTGGAATTTGATCAGCTTTAACTTTGTAGCACTGGGTGGATTTTTAATCCAACATATGAGCTTTGGCTATTTCTGTGGCAAAGGTTTGAATATCAGAATGGAGGAGTCCATCAAATATTAAAATGTTCCCTCTGGATATCCTGAGAATTTTAGGCATAGCAGGAACATTGGGATGTTATGTCACCAACTACTATATTTGACTATAGATTCATTTTTAATTAAATGTCAAAGGCTGTGATTAGTTAAAATTAAATCTGGTGGACTCAAGAGTTCAAGTAAAAAGAGTTAAAATGTTGGAAATCTCACTGAAAATAGAGCAAAGGATAGTAGAGAGATAAAAAATTCCTTGCATTTGAGGAAGGAACACATTTCACAGAAGGGATGATAGTAAGCATGAAACTTTTGCACAGTAAGGAGAAATAAAAAGAAAATGCCCTGAGATTCTTTCTGTGGCATATTTTACCAAACTAAATATAATCATGAAGTTTTAAAGTAAGGAAATACAGAAATTAGATAAAATACTGTACAGACAATGTTTTAATCTGGAGACTATAAAATATGAAGTAATGTGTAAGTAGAAAAAAAGGTCTGAATATAAGTGTTCAACTACAGCAAAATTGAATATTTCACTAGGATACTTTACAAAGCAGATCCAGGACAAGAAAGAATTCTGTTACCATTTGCAAAAAGATAAATTGGGTGTTTCAAGAAACTATGGTCCCATAAAGATTTCCAAGGACCAAACTTTTAAGAATTACTTGGAAAACTGCTTAGTAGGGGGCTAAGTTCTTTCCCTAACTGTGAGATAGAAGCTGGTGATACTTACATGAAAAACAGGACCCATGAGTTTGCAGGGACCGCACCATTTTGCTGAAAATTCCACAACTACAAGTTTGGGTCCAGCCGCTTTCAAAAATGCTGTGAACTCCTTCTGAAACAGAACATAGGTGAAGAAATGTGTATAATCATCAACTCTCATAAAGACTTACAGAGAATAAAATGATAAGATGTATCTTAAAAAACCTTAATCATTTTAAAAAACTTTAATATCCTACCTCATTGTTCTGCAACTGACCCAACCTTTTCTAAATGTGTCAGAGGTCAGATATATTTCTCTTTGCAAGTACACACAAAAGATGATAAAATCTACAAGAATTATAAGCCTATGGCCTGGCATGGTGGTGCATACCTGTAATCTCAGCACTCCAGAGGCTGAGGCAGGAGGATCATTGTGAATTCAAGACCAGCCTGGGCTACAAAGTGAGCTCAAGGCCAGCCTAAACTGCATAGTGAGACCCTGGCTCAAAAGGACAAAAAAACAAAACAAAGAAAAAAAACCAAGTTTACTCTCCAAGTGGGTTGGTGATGGAGATTGGTAATGGTGGCTACTTTTGTGGAGAAAAAGATTTCCCAGGGAGAAAGGAGAGTTGAAAGGTGAAAGAGAAATGTTAATCAAAGTGGATAATGACATTTGATTTCTAAATGTCTTTGTTTAACAAGGGCAAATAAAGCATTAATAGTGAAATTAAAAGGAGAAGAACTAATCTAACACCTTGAGTCATTTTTTTATTTTGTTTTTGGATATGAACATTTTTAAAGCTATAGTAAAAAATATACATCTAAAGATTTGGGATGTTTTTAGCTATCTTAAGTAAGTTTTCCATTAACTGTCTGTATCCACTAAGTAAGATTTCCCTTTCAGACCACTACATACATATTCACTTGTTTTATAAGCAGTAACAGTGTCTCACACTGGCTATTTCATGCCTGGTTTATCTCTGCAAGTTTCTAAAGGATACTTCCCATGGCTCCTAACTGCTAAGTGTTAAGTACTCTCAGAGTCTTTATGGTTTACTACACAGTACTCTCTTCAAAATTTGCCAGGCGTGGTGGGGCACGCTTATAATCCCAGCAGTTGGGAGGCTGAGGCAGGAGGATTGTTGTGAGTTCAAGACCAGCCTGAACAGCATAGCGAGACCCTGTCTTAAAAAGACAAACCAAAAAAACCCCACAAAATTTATTTTTTCCTTTACTAAGGTAAATTATTTATGCTTGATACTCTGCCCTATAATCTCTAGAGTCACCCCATGCAGCATGCCCTCTTTTCTCCATTTCACAAATGAGAAAACTGAAGTTCATTAACTTTCTCGAAGTCAACTACCTAGCAAGTTCATAAGTACAGCTCTCTCATAACAACCAGCTAGTTGGGGTTTTCAGCCTAGATAACCTAATTCCAAGTCTATTTCTTTACTTATGACTCAAATTTACTTCCTGAGTTCACAGTAATGGAACTCACTCTCCTTTCACTGTCCTTAATAGCATTGTGTGCTTATCCCTGGGTTAGTCATCAAGGTGAGAGATGGGATCAGTCATCAAGAAGTGCCTATCCTCAAAAGGAATGAGGTTAATTCCACATGAATGGCATGCCTGCTCTATGGGAGGGGACGACTGACTAGTATATTGCTATTTGGTTGAGTCTCTAGCAGGTGAGTCTGCTGACTCAAAGAAGGCACATACTTCAATGTCAAAATTTCTCCGGGATAAGTGAATAGCTTCTCAAAGATCCAAGTCTCCAATTTCTCACTTGCTTTTGAAGTTATAATGTAGATGCCATTTTTATAGTTCCCAACTCCTTTTACTTCCCAGTAGTGGTTTGCATATGAATAGACCAGGAACTGGATTTGGCTAAGTTATCTGAAGGGAATAATCCCATAGTATAGGTATTTATTCAACAGGTCCATCAGCTCTCAGCCTGTCAAGTGAGGCCTGGCATCTGTAGTCTGGATTCTAATGCACAGTCCACCCCTTGAATGAGGAAGGCCCTTAACCTCTCTGCTTTTTAGAGGCAATTTTCTTCTTTATAAAGAAAGAATATGAGCTGGGCATGGTGGCACATGCCTGTAATCTCAGCACTCGGGAGGCTGAGGCAGGAGGATCATGGCGAGTTTGAGACCAGCCTGGGCTACAAAGTGAGCTCAAGGCCTGCCTGAACTGCACAGTGAGACCTTGTGTAAAAAAGAAGAAAAAAAAAAAAAAAAGAAAAGAAAAGAAAAGAAAGAATGATCTAAACCTAAGACACAGATTTAGATTTGTTTTGACAATAACATTTGGTAATGACTTTATAAAAATCCACCTAAGAAACTGTTGCTACTACTGACATTACTTTTCCTACTCCACTTCATAGGCATATCTGAGTTTTCTGCTTTTTTTCTTAGGATAAAGGGAACAATGTGAAATTTCTTATTTCCATAGAATTTCCCAAGTGCAACTAAGGTAGAATCTATGGGATCAGATTCTGGACAGAGCATGTGAGAAGATACCCTAGATCCTTAGAGCAAGAAACAGGAAGAATCAAACAGGAAGGAAATCTTTTTGAGCTATTTGTCCCTTGGCTGCCCCTCTAGTTAGTGCTGTCTCTCCAGGAACAACATGAAAAGCGAGAATCCAAAGGTTTGCCCTTGCTCCAGAGCAATAAAGGAATACTGGGGAGGAAATAATGTATTAAATCTATTCTTAAGGTGGTCACTTTTGAAACAGTCAATAAAGCCAAACAAATACTTGCCATGTCTTTAATAATCTGCACCATGATCTACACCTGGGAATTGCTGATGAACCTCTCCTGTTGATTTAGGTGGATCACTGTAGCTATTTCTTATTAATTATAGGATCCTAAGGGTAACTTCTTTATGACATCACTGAGCACGTCATTGCAGAATCTGGAACTCTAGTAGACTTTGGATCTAATTCTACTTTTATGTCACGACTTGTTCGTCAGCTTGTGGTCAGCCAAGAATCAGCAAGTTGGGGGCCTTGTATGTAGAATCCATGTGTCTCGTTTTGGTCTTTTACCACTGATTACCATACATTTCTCTTCCTTCCTTAACCCCTACTTCCAATAACCAAATGAGACATAACCATGGCAATTAATATTAATAATTAATAATAGATAAAGATGGTTTCATTGAAAACTTCAAAGGGGCTTTTGCCTTTGAGAAAAATGCTAAAGTCTTAATCTTTAATGTTTCAGATACATTAATTTTATGAGTCATAGAGTCCTTGAACTTTGTTATTTTGTTCTAGCCATTTAGAAGCTAAACAATCTTCACTTTTATATACTAAGCCAGGGGTTGAGCAAATCTTCTGCAACAGGTCAGGTAATGTTTTAGGCTTTATGAGCCACGTACAGGTTTGTTGCATGTTATTTGTTTTTACAACATTTAAAAATGTGAAAACCATTCGTAGCTAGCAGAACATATGAAAACAACAGCAATCTGCCAAGCCCTACAATTGGTGATTTGTTATTGCTCAGGATTTAATGTTAGAAAAAATAACAAAAAAAACCCCAACCAAACATGACTAAGACCAATGTTTTCCAATCTTCAGAGCAATAAGAATGACAAAAATTAAGAAATACAGATTCTGTAATAAAATAAAACTCAACACGGTCCTTCTTTTGCATTTTCCACACTTTCAGCCCTGGGCTGTTGACCTGTACTGATGATAACTGTTATAGAGAAGCGGCTGGCCCTGGAGGGAACATTCACTTTTTCAGTTGACCCTGTCATCACCATCTTTTATTACTTTGGAGTTTGCTTCTATTGCTTTGAAATTCTCAAATGGCAACATACCATGCTGACGTAGGCGTGCAGCTAATTTCTTCTACAGCAATAAAAAATGCATAGAGTATTTCTAATGTCTTTGTTCATTGTCAGTTGTTTTTTTTTTTTTGTTTGTTTGTTTGTTTTTTTGTTTGGTGCTCCTGTAGTATTTTACTTTTTTATATTTCTTTCTTGGCCCCTGTTGACCTTTGAGTTTGAGAGCCCTGGTTTTGATGCTTCTGCCATCCCAACCATGAATTTTATTCACCAGTGTATATTTAAGATCTTATCTTCATGCATTTCTCCTTTTCTCTCATTTTCATTTTGGAAGAAAAGGTGGATACTTAGATGTTATTGACAGCTTTCAAGCCAGGTTTCTTAGCCAAAGCGCTGCTGATGTTGTGGACCCATAATCCTTTGCAATGGGTGGCTTCCCTGAGCATCACAGGGCAGTCAGCAACATCCCTGGCCTCTACCTACTGGATGTTAGTAGTGCTCCCAAGAGATGACAGCCTTAAAAGCCTGTTAGGGAGCAAATCTGCCTACGGTTCTCTATTGTGGTTCTCAACCACTGCTTCAAAAGGTAGGCTTGGTTCTAGACACTGCTTCCACATAAGTGATCTGATGTGTACTCAGTTGAGGTCATCGGGTCCCCTCTCTACAGATGAGATGTTCAAGGTACAGCATTTAGGTACATTATGCTACCTAGAATTTAGAAGTCCAGGTTGGGTTACCTGTCACATAGGGAGAGCACAGGATCAGATAACCTGACCAAGTCTATGTCTTTTTTTCTTTTTTTTTTTTTTTTTTTGTCTTTTTTTGAGACAGGGTCTTGCTGTCAGAGCTGTTTTACCAATGAATTTGGCCTTTTAAATT